TATGTTTGTTTTTTTAATACAAGTTCTTAATGAAAAGTATCGTACAAATAATTACTTAAATTTGTCTTGAAAACAGGAAGTGAACCCTGCTTAATAATTTGTAAATTAAATATATTATGATAATCTCTTACTGCATATGATTAACTAAAAAAATCATACTACATATGATACTGCTGAAAAAAAAGAAAAATGTAACATAAAAACTAGAACATATCCTTTATTTAAAAGCCAGAAAGTTTTCCTCATTTTTTTGTTTGTTTGTTTGGAGGGGTAAGAGACTAATAATGGTTTTCTGACAACTATAAAAGTGACCAAAAATATGTGTCTTCCACTGCTGACAACCCATATGACATCACAAGCTGTATCCTCTTTATATGGGTTTGATCTTGAAATGGAGACCAATCAATGAGAACACCAGGCACTTTAAGTCCTGCACGAGGTAATAGAAGCATCTCAAACCATCTGGATCTCTGTGATAAAAAAAGGAAGGCAGGAATAAAATATCTACAAGAAAAGTTTTAAATGAAATATGCAATTTCTATTATAATAAATCAAGAAAAAAGAAAGAAAGAAAAAAAAGTAATCAGCCAATTTATAGACAATAAATCTGAATCATAGAGGAATAAAGGTGTACATGTAGATGGGTAACTTTGTATTTCATAACATATATTGGGCATAATTTATACATAACTGGCTTTGGAAAAAAACATATGATTGGGGGAAAAAAAAAAAAAGTTCAAAAGTAAATAGTTATGGTAAGGATCATGAAACCACATACATATCAGTCTTTAAAATTGAAATTAGTCAAACATACACCTAAAACTGACAATGTTTAGATTACACCTTTCCAATCTTTTGTTTCGTTTTCTACAAGGCAATCAATAAACAAAACTCTTACTTCGAGTTATTAACATCGACGAGTGAGCCAATCTTGGAGGTAGTGAAGGAGATGTGTTCATCACCAATGACAATCTCCAGCTCCTGCCTGCCCACACGGTCAGGCTGTGGCCAAAGTGCATCATCCTCCTGCATGATCTCTGAGTCGTCAATGATTCTCTTGAGCTCTTCCATGACACATCTATGAACATAAGCCTGGAAGCAGGAGGGAGAGCATAAAAAGAAAAAAAATAATAAATAAAGAGAAAGTTTAGTACTCAGAAGAAAAATGAGAAAAACATTACAGGCTATAAAATTCAAATTATGTTGAGATTATACAAAGATTTTCACATGAAATAAGAACATATAGTTTAAGTTTCAACTGTGAAGTTAAAGAACTTTCAGCTCTATCTCTGATGTAAATACTTGTATACATGTTTTGTATGTGTGGTGTGTAGGAATGCTTGTCCATGTCTATCCACACATGAGGAAAACACAAAATACCGACCTCTTTACGGATCATAACATCATTCTTGTAGTTGGAGTTGTTGGCATATCGAAGCTTGCCTGAGAAAGATACAATACAAGTGCTGTACCTTTTAATATTTCTTGGAAAAGAGAACAATCAGAAAATCTAGAGAAAGAATAACAAAGGAATAATCAAGAGCTTGGTTGGGAAAAGAGGGAAGGATTCATACAAAATGCAACATGTAAGGTAAAAGGTAATTTTCTTATAATATTAGAGTTCAAATCCATAAAGTACTCATAGATTCCAATTACAATCTTGATCACAAACTATATAACAAAGTCTTATAAAATAATTATAAGACTAAAATTCTTAATGTATACTGGTTTCAATGAAGGTACAGGAAACCTACAAACAGAAAAACACAAAATCATATGCAGACAAATGCATGCATGCACACACCCTTGTGTACACCCCCCCCCCCAACACATTCACACACACACACACACACACACACGCGCGCGCAGCACACACACACACACACACACACACACACACACACACACACACACACACACACACACACACACACACACACACACACACACACACATATGCAAATACCCCCACAATGGATTTACCCCTCAAAGGAAAAACTGGAAGGATGGGAAACATAATATCCCCACCCTACCTAATTTTGACTGCAGCATATACGAATGTAATTCAAAGCCTTCTTTTGATGGGCTGTAGCTCCTAAATAAATTAGGTAATGACCAAACAAGCAAATAACTGTTAGGCATAGCAAGAGCTGTTTGTAGTTTGATTGGTGGGGAGGGCATGTAAGGTACCAGGGAAATTTCCTCCCCAATCCCTTGCTCACTGTTGTCGTGGGGGGCTAAGAAGACGGGAAGAGGGTTATATAGGCTCAAAGTAGGGAATCTCTCATTTCAACTAATATTGCACAGCCTTTTCTTCTCCTCCTTCATCCCATTGTTCTGTCCACTTATGCCAATCATTAACCCATTGCCGCCAGGGATGGCATGTACGTACATGCCATGCCCACTGAGTTGACTTGTTCGATTGTTTTTACACATAGATGGCTACACTTGTACTAAGTATCCAATGAGCCAATTACGAGTACTGCCTGTCTCGCCCGTTCACCCTTTTCAACAATTTACAAAAATATTTAACGTTATCCTAATTTGCTGTTAAAAATAACACCATCTATATTTATAGCACTAGTAAAAATATGTTTTTTCCCGCCAATTCAAGGAAAGGTGAAATCTGGACTAGCAGAGCCATCTATGGACAGAGAGATTTCACAAAAATATAAAATGAGTACTGCATTTCCCCCATTTTTTGTTCATTTTCCCCAGCAGCAATGGGTTAATTCATACCCTTTTCACCACAAAATCTTATCATAATGCTCCTAACTCATTTAACTTCTTGCTCTTCTAACAACCTTTACCTTATACTATAGCCCATCAGTGCCCCCTCTAAACCCTTTTCACTACTATACTACTTTATACTACTGTTCAAACTGTAACTTTGCCCCAATCATCAACTCATTTCTAACCCTTTTCGTTACTTCCTTACCTGGGGGCTTTGTCCCAAGCCACACACTATCACTATATTTGAAAATGCCACTTATGACCTTAGAGGTTGATGCAGCAGAAAATTTTCAATATATAAATATATACCAAGCGAATTGGGGGTTAAACATGAATAATATATGTGAAATACGTCACTATAATACTAACGTACACAGAATGTTACAATGTATATAACTGAAACAAGGAATAATAATTGCAAGGTTAGATGGCAGTGTGAGACTAAATAATTATCATAGCTATTATAAGCATTTTAATATCTTACTATGATTGAATTTTTCAGAATCAATCATGATGTATATGGGGAAATATCAAGTACTACACTGAACACATAACTCATAACTGTAATAGGTCAGTTAGTTTCGTTTTACAACACACAGTCAAAGTATAATGGTCTGCATCAGCTAGTGAGACACGGCAACCAGAAGGGGGTTGGGGTAGAGAAACTGACTAGGGAAAAATGGTGAGAAGGGGTTAGGGAGCAAAGCCTGAGAACAAGGTTGGGAAGATTTTTGGTTCATGCTGCAATCTTTATGGTAGTATCAAAAAAAAAAAAAAAAAAAGTTAATGTTATCGAGAGCAAAGCACAGAGATAGCAGGAAATGGACACTGCCATCTTATACTGCATAAGAAATAAAGGTATTTGTTACCGAAAGCGACATACCCTCCAGACAAAGTCCCAAATCCATGATAACATGCGAACCCAAAATACAATCCTAACCATTCCTACCTTCTATTTACTCCCTAGACAGGGGGTAAGCCTCCCTACACCCCCCTCTATTAACACTTCACACGAACATGCAGAAAATGCAACATTAGGAACTGTGGCTGTGTGAGTGTGTCACCTCTGAGCGGTGACACGCAGAGGGTATTTTCGTAATTTCCCGATAAATATGAGGCCGCTGCAGATATACCTGTATTGCTTCCTACTCTATTTTCTATAGAGTGTTAATAGAGGGGGGTATAGGGAGGCTTGCCCCCTGTCTAAGGAGTAAATAGAAGGTAGGAAAGGTTAGGTTTACATTTTGGGTTTTAATATTATCCTGGATTTGGGACTTTGTCTCTGGAGGGTCCATTGCTCTCGTTAATAAATAACAAAATAATCGGACAATATGTGGTATAAGGTTGTGGAAGAGTTGAGAAATAAAACCTACATGAAATGATAGAACAATACAAACCAAGACAAAGTTCTTCTACGGCAATGTGTGTACAAATACTTCCCAAGGGTGCTATATGTAAAAGAAAAGAGATCCCCAATTTTGGTTGCTTGTCTTATTTACATTGCGAGGGTGAATTCTAGACGCATATACTACCATGGAGGTCCAAGGGGCGTAGCTCCCTGGCTAGGCATATATATTATCACGGGGGTCAAGGGGGAAGAGCCCCCTGGCTAGGGAATATATACCATAGTGTTAGGTTAGGTTGGATGTTGGGTTTAGACGTTTTGTTTAACAACCACGGGGGTCCTGTTTTACCCCATAATTTCTCTGATATACTTCATGCCCTCCCCTGCTATCAGGCCTATCAAATCAAGATTGCCGATGGATATGATCATATCTCCTCAACGATTCATTTGCACAAGGGACAATGCTGAGAATCACTGAAAGCAATGGATTTCATGCAGAAAATAGCAAAATTGTTTGGAAAGTAACCCACTACCCTCTTCTACATAATGACCAGGGGATCTTCTCTTCTATGTATAGCAGCCTTGGGAAGCATTTGCACACATATTGCCATGGAAGAACTTGGTCTTGGTTTATATTGTTCTCTCATTTCATGTAGGTTTTATTACCCAACTCAGCCCCTGCCTTATACTACATACTAACTTAATCCCTTATAGTAAAGCTAAAAACTGTAACAACCAATAATCAAATATTTCTTCTAATGCCAACGAAATTATTTTCCAAGTACGTACAGACGCCGCATTGACATGCCACTTTCTACTCCAGTCTACATTACTGGAAACCTTCTATATGACCATCTTTCCCCTTCATCGCCATACATAGGCCTCCCTGACACGCCATGACACAGGTCTACAGAAAGTAGGAATCAATGGCATTACAAATATCAAAAACAAGTCTTTCCAAAACGTCAACAAACGCCGAAACTCGACACCCTCGTAGCCCTCCTTCACAAAACCTCTTTTCTCCCGCAAACATGAAACGGAACTTCCTTAAAACCTCATGCACATCCTTACCATCTGGTCTAAACTCAAACTCGAGGAATTCGTGCCCAAATTTGCCTTTGTGGCCAACATAATAGCGGATATAGAAGTCGTTCGAGCCCATCGCGCGTCAACGTGTGCGGCGGCGGTGGTCTGTTGAAGAGAGAGTGTTGGAGGAACACTTTGTTGGAGTGAGCTTCATTTCTTATAATATATATATATATATATATATATATATATATATATATATATATATATATATATATATATATATATATATATATATATATATATATATTGTGTGTTTTACTGTCACTTGGATGTGTATATCCCTTAGCTTCCCTATTTCGAGTCCATTGTATGTGAGCTAAAGTAACCTTTCTGTTGGCGATTGATGGATCTTTTTTGATGGAGAAACGTGATTTCTTGCAATTTTTCCTTTGTGTGTTCTCTACATGGTTTTGTTGTCAGGAGCAGCGTCCGTGTTGGAGAGACTTGTTTTCATTATTATTATTATTTTTGTGTGTGTGTGTGCACTATTCCTGTTTCTGCTTTTAGGTTTTACATGTTTTTCATATGTTATTTCTGTATATTTGGCTACCTTGCTCGCTTTTATTTTCCACATAGCGGCGTCTTTCCTGCAGAAGTGTTGGAGAACGAGCACCGGAGAAAGGTTGTATGTTTTATTTTGTTTATTTGTTTTTTTCTGTATTTTTCTGTATTTTTTATTTCATGATTGCATTGCATTGTCTTTCTCTCTCCCGCCATCATCACTATTTGTCATTACCTAATAATAACGGAAGCAGGATCGACTCTCCGTGCATACTGCAAGGGTGGATGTTGCATTCAATTATCTTCACTGAGCTTATCAATCTGTGTTAATTTAAAATGATGGGAGGGAAAGGAGGAGAGGAATAGGAGGGATAGAAGGGGGAAGAGGAGAAGCAGGAGGAAATGTAGGTGGACGATAAAAGGAATAATAAAAGGAGGAAATGAAAAGCAGCAGCAGCAGCAGCAGCAGCAGCAGCAGCAGCAGCAGCAGCAGCAGCAGCAGCAGCAGCAGCAGCAGCAGCAGCAGCAGCAGCAGCAGCAGCAGCAGCAGCAGCAGCAGCAGCAGCAGCAGCAGCAGCAGCAGCAGCAGCAGCAGCAGCAGCGGGAGTAGGAGGAAGAAGAGGAAGAAGGGTGGGAAGAAGACTAGAGAGGAAGTGAAAGGGAATGGGAAAAAAAGGATTGGTGGAAGAAGAGGAGAAAGAATAAAAGACCAGATGAATAGTTGTGATATGACAAAACAACATTACTAATGGCAACAGTAGTAACAACGGTTGTAATGTTATTGACAGTATTGATAATAACAATGGCAATAATGATATTTAATGATGATAGATGAAGATAATGATAATAATACTGATGAAAGTAATAATAATAATAATGCTGATAATAATAATAATAATAATAATAATAATAATAATAATGCTGATAATGATAATAATAGTAATAATAATAATAATAATAATAATAATAATAACAATAATAATAACGATAATGATACTGATAATAATAATGACAATGATGATTATGATAATAATAATAATAACAATAAAGAGGACTATCATAACATGCAATAATAACGATAATGAAAATAGAAATAATGATAATCGATAATAGCAACATCAATAATGATAATAATAATAATAATAATAATAATGCTAATAACATAATAATAATAATAATAAATCTAATGATAATAATAGCAATAATGATAATGATGATGATAATGATAATACAATGATGATTATGATGATAATAATGATAATAATATCAGTAATGATGATAACATTAATAACATTTGTGTCTCTTATTATTAGTCATGCTTCTACAAACTCCTGTAAACTTGATGCACATTCTCTGTGGGAGCAACTGGGTCCATCAGCGCATGAGTACATTGGAAAAGGCCCAAGAGCAAGGTAGAATTTCATCTCACTGGGGACAGTTGAGACCACAGAAGTACGTCGCATGGCTCAGCTGGATGGCAGTTAGGACTCAATCAGGATCCAAGTGGTATCACAAAACCACCAGGAAGGAACCTTCTACACTAACTAAGGTTAGACTGGCGTTTTCTAAGCTGACGGGTAGGAAAGCTGCAGGCATATGTGATATCCCTACTGAACTAACCTAACCTGACCTGCTAAAGGCTGAGGGCAAACCTATGGCATGGGACTTGCATACAGTTTTGACTGCCATCTGCCATTCTGGTTCCATTCCACCTGACCTGTAGAGTGGCGTGATCATCCCTCTCTGGAAGGGAAAAGGGGATCGTTGGGACTGTAGCAACTACTGTGGCGCCACACTGCTCAGTATACCAGGCAAGATTTTCGCCCACATTA